GGGGGGTTGAGGCAGGGTTTCTCTGTGGCTTTGGAGACTGTCCTGGAACTAGCTCTTGTAGACCAGGCTGGTCTCGAACTCACAGAGATCCACCTGCCTCTGCCTCCTGAGTGCTGGGACTAAAGGCATGCGCCACCAACGCCCAGCTCAGGCACAGATTGTTACAGTCATCTGAAATCTAGACAGACAGTCCAAAGCCAGACCATTTAGGCTCATGAGTCTTCTGCCCACAGGGAGAACCTGGAGACCCTGGAGAAGATGGAAGGAAGGTGAGCCCCTCCCTTGGAGGATGCCGTGGCCTCAGATTGGACCATGTCTAAAAAGCCCTGTTTTCCTTAGGGGGAAAAGGGAGATTCTGGTGCCCCTGGAAGAGAAGTGAGTGCTGAGTTTTTATATTCTGTGATCCCTGATCATGACCCTGTGAGAGCTATGGCTCCACTCTTCCCTGGGGTCCTTGCTGCTGACTGTGTGCTCCACAGGGCCCTGATGGTCCCAAAGGTGAACGTGGAGCTCCTGGTGATCCTGGACTGCGGGGTCCTCCCGGTCTCCCAGGACAGGTCGGTCCCCCTGGCCAGGTGAGTATTTAGGGTAATTCTAGGCCTTGGGATCCATGGCCAGTTATGTCTCCTGGACTACCCTCCTTTGATGCCTTCCTTAATCCTGTGACTCCTTTATGCTCCATCATATTTCAGGGTTTCCCTGGTGTCCCAGGAAGTATGGGTCCCAAGGTGAGTTATGTATCTGTGCTGGGTAAAGTGTGTGATAAGGGGCACACAGGGTTAGGAGCCATGTCTCCCCTTGACCATTCTTTGTTCCAGGGTGACCGTGGAGAGACTGGATCCAAAGGGGAACAGGTGTGGCTCCACCCTTTTTTATCTGCCCCTGTAGCTACGATCTCCCCCAGACGTACACACATCCCAAAGGCTGGGTTTCAGTTGCCAATTTCTTGTCTCTAGGGCCTTCCTGGAGAACGTGGCCTACGAGGAGAACCTGGGAGCTTGCCGGTGAGCCACACCTGGCCCTTGACCCTCGTCTACATACCTATAGTAGCCACTTCTCTCTCACTTCCCCCTTGCCATGGGACTCTGTGGGTTCTGCCCTCTGTGCTCAGTCCCTTGCCCATTGGGGTTCCTGAAGTTTCCGTTCAAGGAAGCACAGGTGGTAGAGAAATGCCAGAGATAGGCTGCCAGTGGCCTCACACCTCCGCAGAGGGCAAAAGGATATAGGAGCTTTCTTAGGTGACAATGTAGGGCAGGAGGAGGGGCCTTCTCTTGCGTGGGTAGCTCCTTACCATCTTTGTGTTCCCAGAATGCAGAGAGACTACTGGAAACAGCTGGCATCAAGGTAGGTTGTGTAGGAAGTGAAGGTAGAGTCCTGTGGTTGAGCTGTGGCGGCTACAGACCCTGTTCCTCTGTGCCCTCACTGTTCCTCAGGTGTCGGCCCTGCGGGACATTGTGGAGACCTGGGGTGAGAGCTCTGGCAGCTTCCTCCCTGTGCCTGAACGGAGACCTGGCCCCAAGGGGGACCCTGGTGAGCGAGGCCCTCCTGGCAAGGAGGTAAGTGGCTGGTGGCTTCTCGGTGGGTACGCTTTACCGAGGGCATGTTCTTACAGCCACAAGCCTGCATCCTTCTCCTCCCATAGGGTTCCATCGGCTTTCCTGGAGAGCGTGGGCTGAAGGGAGACCGTGGAGACCCTGGCCCTCAGGGGCCTCCTGGTCTGGCCCTTGGTGAGAGGGGCCCACCTGGACCACCTGGCCTTGCTGGGGAACCTGGAAAGCCTGGCATTCCTGGCCTCCCAGGCCGGGCTGGTAGTGCTGGGGAGGCAGGACGGCCAGGAGAGAGGGTGAGCCTGGGGCTAACTGGGAGGGCCAGGCGAATGGTTAGAGAAACTGGCCTCCCCATTGATGTTGGTCTCACCCTGCTCTTTGTCTCCAGGGAGAACGTGGAGAGAAAGGAGACCGTGGAGAGCAGGTGTGTGCTGGGGGAGGCACCTTGAAGCAGGCCTTTCTGGAACCTGCGAGGGCTGGCTGGCACAACTTCCCATTTCCTTTTCTTCTGCAGGGCAGAGATGGCCTTCCTGGCCTCCCTGGACCACCTGGCCCTCCTGGCCCCAAGGTGATCATCCAGCCTTGTGACTGGTCATGATGCTACCCGGAGACTGGGCCCCAGAAACGCCATGTAGAATCTTCAACCCCATAACTTTTTAAGTGATCCTGGGGCCTGCACTGACCCCTTCACACCTGCATTACAGACTCATTGTCCCTCCATTGTTCTGTTCTTACAGGTGGCCATCGATGAGCAAGGTCCTGGACTCTCTAGAGAACAAGGGCCCCCTGGGCTCAAGGGTGCTAAGGTCAGTGTGGGGTCAACTTGTGTCTCATGCCTACCATAACACTAGGGCCTGACCTGACATCTTATTTATACAGGGGGAGCCAGGTAGTGATGGTGACCACGGACCCAAAGGAGATAAGGTGAGGTTTCCTACCCCACTATGCCCTCTCTGTATGGGGCATACCATAAGTAGTATATACATATATGTACACACATCACACAGAATGGGGCTCAGGGCATGGCACTTTGTTTGCAGGGTGCACCAGGCATTAAAGGAGACCAGGGAGAGCCTGGGAAGAGGGGTCATGATGGCAGCCCGGTGAGTTCTTGTCCCATAGGTCACATGTGTGCAAGGCTATGGTGTTATGTGCGCTGTCTTAGATGCAGGGCTGGAGTCAGCACTGTTTGGGAGCTAAGTCCTGTCCTTGGCCATCAGGGGCAAGGTGGGCAGTGAAGAAGCTGGGTTGGGTATAAGGGCAAGGTGGTCTTAGATCTATCCTTTTTTATAGGGTCTGCCGGGAGAGCGTGGTGTGGCTGGGCCAGAAGGGAAGCCGGTGAGTGACCATAGGTATAGCTGGCCTAGGATTTGAGACCCCTCGCTGTGTATTTATTACTCAAGAGGAATAAGGCTATGCCATGTACCAATTGTAGACTCAGGGGCATGATATCAGACAGGTTTGCTGTGTGTGTGTCTGCGTGTCTATCTGTAAAGGGCAGTCCACGGGTGTATGTGGTCATCTGTGCCTGAGAAGTAGGGAGAGTGGAGTGCTCACCAGGCAAAGGTCCCCTGAAGGTGGGAACAGGCTGAAGTGAGGTGTGGACCAAGGTTCATCAGCCCCCTTCCTTCTGCAGGGTCTTCAGGGCCCAAGGGGGACCCCTGGCCCAGCGGTGAGTACAATAGAACCCTCACTTCTCCTCCTATCCTGTGCCAAACCCCAGTGAAAAACAATGCCTACTTTTTCTGGGTGGGACTGGCTCCTTTCATCAGACTGTCCCCAACAGGGTGGCCATGGAGACCCTGGACCATCTGGTGCCCCGGTGAGTGATGGAGAAACACTGCCTAGTGGGGTAGGAGGGGGGGGGATGGACATCTGTCCCTGTTGGTAAGCCAGGCTTTATTCATGAGAACCCTGGAGCCCAGGCAGACAACACTGACCCCTGCCTCTGCCTTCACACTTTGCTCTAGGGTCTTGCTGGCCCTGCAGGACCCCAGGGACCTTCAGGCCTGAAGGTGAGTATAGGCATGGAAGGAGCGTGGGGTGTACATATGAAGAAGGAGGGGAATTCCAGGCATGTCTTTTTCTGTGATGGAACTGAGCACCTGGTTTCTGGGTCCTTTCCAGGGGGAACCTGGAGAGACAGGACCCCCAGGACGGGTGAGTAGTGAAACTCTTGGGGTGATGTTACTATCACACTTTGGGGTTGGAACTATTCTGAACATCCTCTTCCAGGGTCTGCCTGGACCTACTGGAGCTGTGGGACTTCCTGGCCCTCCTGGCCCTTCAGGCCTTGTGGTGAGTGAGTTGCTGTAGGGACACCATATTCTAACTCCTCAGGGTACCACATTCTCCTGTGTCCTTGTTCCCTCATCTCATGTGACCCTCACTCATATCTGCTCTCCCCACCAGGGTCCACAAGGGTCACCAGGTTTGCCTGGACAAGTGGTAAGTCCTGGCAGTCTTGGGTTGGGCTCCAGGGGTCATTATGCAGGATCTTGACGGAGCCCCATCTTTTCAGGGGGAGACGGGGAAGCCAGGACCCCCAGGTCGTGATGGTACCAGTGGAAAGGATGGAGAGAGGGGAGGTCCTGGTGTGCCAGTATGTATTTTAGGAGAGCCAGTGGTGGGCCTGTCGTGGGGTCGCGTGTCCAGCTGGCTGGGTAGAAGCTGGGGTGGCAGGGACAGGGTGATGAAGAGACTAAATTCCTCACACTGCTCTTCCACAGGGGTTACCAGGTCTGCCTGGCCCTGTTGGACCTAAAGGAGAACCTGGACCTGTGGGGGCCCCTGGACAGGTGACCTTTGGCTCTGCTCCCTACCCCCACCCCTAAGCCTCAGTTTTCCCCTATCATCTGGGACGGCAGGGTGGAGATGGGAAGGAAGGATGGCTAGGCTACTCACAAGGCCTTCCCCACAGGTGATGGTTGGGCCCCCTGGAGCAAAAGGCGAGAAGGTGAGTAGGCATGAGTACTGAAAGAAAGGGCTAAGAATGGGAGTGAAGGAATCCACTGACCCCCTCTATTGTCAGGGTGCCCCAGGAGACCTGGCTGGAGACCTGCTGGGTGAGCCGGTAAGTGGAACACCCCTGGCAGTAGGGGTCCTTGGACCCATAGTTCATCTATCCTTATGACTCTTAGCTTTTACAACACCCCCATTTGACACCTGTGTTATCACATGGTCCTTATGTCCATAGGGAGCCAAAGGTGACCGAGGACTGCCAGGACCAAGGGGTGAGAAGGTGAGTGGGTCTGGGCTTCCGGCATAAGTGTTGGGCAGAGTAGGGGTGAGGCTGGGAGGCTAAGGACCCTTACTATCTCCTATGTGCAGGGTGAAGCTGGCCGTGCAGGAGAGCCTGGAGACCCTGGGGAAGATGTAAGTCTGGGGTCTGGGAAGGATCAAGCCTGGCTTGACCATGAAAACAAGGACCATTCTTGGGCTTGTTCCTATCTGTGAGCCTCTATGCCTATGTCCTCAAGTTTCTGTGTGGAAGACACAGGGCCACATGCTTTTGGCTTCCGTACTTGTGGACCCAGGCTTGGCTTCTGGGTGTCTATGCTTAATCTCCTGTTGGCTGAGCCCGGGCAAGTCTGTTACCACCTCCTCTCGTAGGTCCTGGGACACAGCTGAATTCTGCAGGCCTCTCCTTGGTCATGTGTTTATAATCTTGTCTCCCGCCCCCGCCTGTCTGAATACACATCTGTGGTCACATCTAACTTTCCTGATGGGACTTTCCACTGAACGCCACATCTGTGGTCCCTCATGTTTGCACGCTCATGTGTGAGTTCTATGTGCCTGTGGTCACATCTGGACTTTCCTTGGCCTGTGCCCTCACAAGCCTATGGTCTTGTCTGAGTTCCCATGGATTCATAATGATCTGAGTTCCCCTGGGAATACTTTTGGTCCATATAGAAGCTTAGTGTTCACATTCCTGGATAAGTGTTTTGCTTGCATGTCTGTCTGTGCACCACTTGCCTACCTGTTGCCTTTGGAGACCAGAAGGGCATAGGATCCCTTGAGACTGAGTTTTAGATGGTTGTGAACTGCCACGTGGGTCCTAGGAATTGAACCTAGGTCCTCTGTGTACCAGGCTTTTTCTTTTGGGCCACTAACCAGCTCCCAGATTGTGACACAGAGATTTATTATTAGTTTCGAATGTTTGACCTAGCTTAGGCAAATTTCTGGCTGGCTCTTTTAAATTAATCTGCTTCTCTTTATCTACCTTTTGCCTCAGGCCTTTTTATTTTTCTTTCTTCTGTGTATCTTATTTTCACTGCTTCTTCTATCTAGGTGGCTGGCAGCTGCCTGGTTTTTTGCCCCAGGCATGTCCCTCAACCTCTCCTCCTCCGCCCTCTTCCTTCTCTTTTTGAGTCTAGATTTCTTCTCCTACTTATTGTCTTTGCCTGGCAGCCCCGCCTGTCCTTTCTCAGCCTAGCTATTGACGATTTCAGCTCTTTATTGGACCAATCAGATGGCTTAGGCAGGCAAACTGAAACAAATACAACACATCTTTACATTGTTAAACACTTTATTAAACAAATGCAGCATAAACAAAGTAACACCTTTAAGCCGCTGAAGTAATATTGTGTCACATAAACAAATGTAACACATCTTTGCCCAGTTAAAGTCATATTCTACAACCGGCCTTGGTGGCCCATGCCTTTAATCCCAGCACTCAGGAGGCAGAGGCAGGCACATCTCTGTGAGTTCGAGACCAGCCTGGTCTACAAGAGCTAGTTCCAGGACAGGCTCCAAAGCCACAGAGAAACCCTGTCTTGAAAAACAAACAAACAAACAAACAAAAAAGTAATATTCTACAACACCTCTGGAAGAGCAGCTCTTAACCACTGAGTCATCTCTCCAGCTTGAATTTTATTCCTTTTATTTTTTATTTTTAGGGTCAAAAAGGGGCTCCAGGACTCAAAGGTCTCAAGGTACATTTATGTGGAAGGGTCTTTGCTTGGGACCATGGTCTTATGACTCTTTAAGCCTGATAAAACCCCTCTTTCCCATAAAGGGTGAGCCAGGAATTGGGGTTCAGGGCCCCCCTGGGCCAACTGGTCCTCCAGGGATGAAGGTAAATCAGTGTTCTGCACAGCTCCTAGAGGTGGGAGGAAGGGGTTCTGGAGCTTGACCTGGGAAGGTGTCCTGTGACCACTCCCCCTTTTAATCTGTTTCAGGGCGACGTGGGCTCCCCAGGAGCTCCTGGTGTTGTTGGATTCCCTGGTCAGACAGGACCTCGAGGAGAGACAGGCCAGCCAGGGCCTGTTGGGGAGAGGGTAAGAGGGCTGGAAAGAGCCTGTGGGACTTGGTGACCTCAAAACCTCTGACTGGTAGCAGAGGAAGGAACCCAGGCCCTTCCTTGGTGGTGCCCAGTCTTAAGAGGAAGCAAAGGGGGAGGGTGTTCCCAAATCACACCCTATTTTCCATCTCCCATTTTCCTATAGGGTCTGGCAGGCCCTCCAGGGAGAGAGGGTGCCCCAGGTCCCTTGGGACCACCTGGACCACCAGGGTCAGTGGTGAGTAGAATTGCCTGGATGCCCCAAGTCTGCTCATGTGAGGTTATTGGTGGGAAGCAGGCCATGAGGTTGGGTATGTGGGGTATTTGAGCCTATAGGTTCCTCAGCTCACTCTGACCCACAGGGAGCACCTGGCGCCTCTGGACTCAAAGGAGACAAGGTAGATAAAATGCTGCTGGCTCTCTCCTGTGTCACTATCACTCTCCAACTCCCACCGAGCTCCTATAATCCTCTGTCCTCCCTGAGTCCCCTTGCTTATCCCTGGTGTCCTGTTGCTCTCCAGGGAGACCCAGGAACAGGGCTGCCCGGGCCCCGAGGCGAGCGTGGTGAGCCAGGTGTCCGGGTATGTACGTATGTTGTCATCACAGCCAGGGCTCACTACCTCACCATCATAGTTCTTGCCTCAGATTCCCAACCTCTGAGTCAGTAGACCTAATGTCACCATTCAGGGTGAAGATGGCCACCCCGGCCAAGAAGGACCTCGAGGACTCATGGTAAGTCCCATTGATGTGACTTCAGTTCCTTGCCTGACCCCTCTGTGCGCTTGGACACTGTAGTCTGTCCTAGCCATCTGTCCTCATTGTTTCTCTTATTCTCTCTCCTGTCCTCTCTGTCTTACTCTGTCCTTTTGAGTCACCTCCTCACCACCCTCCCACACTCCCATAGCTCATAATCATACTTTTTCACACAGGGGCCTCCTGGCAGCAGGGGAGACCGAGGGGAGAAGGTAATAATGTAGGAGAAAGCTGGGCGGTGGTGGCACATGTCTTTAATCCCAGCACTCGGGAGGCAGAGGCAGGCGGATCTGTGAGTTCAAGGCCAGCCTGGTCCACAGATCGAGTGCCAGGACAGCCAGGACTGTTACACAGAGAGAAACCCTGTCTCGAACCCCCCCTCAAATAAAATTAATAATAACAACAATAATGTGGGCCCCTCGGGTGAGTCGGGGTAACGGATGGATATTTTAATTAAGGTTTGGGGCCTCCCCAGCTTGAGTGAGATTCATTCTTCTACCCAATAGGGTGACACTGGACCTGCAGGGCTAAAGGGTGACAAGGTAAGTGTGGTTATCAGGAAGGGCTGGAGTAGGAAGCTGGGGTGTTCCTGACTCTTCTGATTCCTCCCTGTCCATCAGGGTGACTCAGCTGTGATTGAGGGGCCTCCAGGGATACGAGGTGCCAAAGGGGACATGGTGAGTAGGTCTGATTCGAATGTGAACTGGGTCTCTCTTGGCTGTTAGAAAGAGTTCTGTGGGGCTGGCCCAGGTGATCCAAGAGCTCAGCTTCGCAGAACACAAGGGGCCTCCAGATCCTGACCCTGATCTCTGACCTCTGACCTAGGGTGAACGAGGACCTCGAGGAATAGATGGTGACAAAGGACCTCGGGGAGACAATGGGAATCCTGGTGACAAGGTATACGGTAGAGGGTGGGGGCTCCTTGTGGGTCCTGCAGGCTGCCTGTGCTCCTTAGAGGGTCAGGGAGGGGCAAAGCTGATTGTGGGCAAGAGGAAGTTTAGGCTGTAGTGACTCTAAAGGGTGGCACAGAGGATGGGGACTCTTGGGAGAACTCCAGTGCCTCAGGTAAGAACAGGCGGGGATCTCTGGGCTATGACTTTATGAGGGGAGCTAGAAACAGCAAGGGAACTCTTCAGGTGTTAGAGGTTCTCTGGACAGTGTCTTGACACTGCCCTTTCTTCTGGGAACTCCTACAGGGCTCCAAAGGAGAGCCTGGTGACAAAGGCTCAGCTGGATCAATTGGAGTTCGAGGACTCCCAGGACCCAAGGCAAGCTCCATCCCAGGCTTAGTCACTCACCTACCACTCACACTCGCCTTGGAGATTTCTTATGTTAGAGGGATCCTGGTTTCCTTGGTCACACGCATGTTGTTCACACGGGATCTATGTGCAGCCTGAGCCCTGGCTAAGCTGGGTCACCAAGTGACTACATGTGTGTAGATAAGCCATCGTGGGACACAGTTACACTGAAGCGCTTGCCCCAATCTGTTTCCCACAGGGTGAGACAGGTGCCACAGGGATCCCTGGTGAGCCGGTAAGATGCCCCAAATCCCATGGAGAACCCCTGTCCTCACAAGGTCCCGTTCCCATGATGGCCCTGCCCACGTAGCCTTTAACCTTTTAGGGACCTAATTTTTTATGGACTTCCTTTTCTCAGAAGCTCCTACCTCTACCATGAACTTTATGATGGTGACCCCAGCTCATGTTGACCCTGTTCCCATGGCAATGGGTGGTGACTGGGGTTCCCTGCCTGCCGTCTAGGGTGACTCCTTTTGATACTTCACTGTTCTTTCTTGTACCATGTCAACACCTTTACTCCCCAGGGAGCCCCAGGAAAGGATGGAGCCCCTGGTTTCCGAGGAGACAAAGGAGATATTGGCTTCATGGGTCCCCGGGGTCTAAAGGTGAGAATCATTTGCTCTTCTGGCCAAGATAGCCTGGTGTTGGAGAATAAGGGATCTAGGGTCAATTTTGGGGGCTCAGGTTACCTAGAGTGTTAGGTCAGGGTTGGAATGCCTGAAACCAGTAGTGAGAGTTGGTTTTGAGGTCAAAGATTCAAGGTGAGGTAGAAGTGAGTCTTTTTTTTTTTTTTGGACCCAAGTTCTCATGTATCCCAGGCTGGCTTTGAACTTGTTATGTAACCAAGCCTGAACTTGGAACTCCTGACTCTCCTGCTTCTACCTCCCAAGTGCTGGGATTATAGATTTGCTTTCTCATCTGCTTTCCTACCTTAGGGTGAGAGAGGAATGAAGGGAGCCTGTGGCCTTGATGGAGAAAAAGGAGCTAAGGTATAGATCTATGAGGAGATGGGGGGCTGTGGGGGGCTGGTGTGGGGGCTGTGGGGGCTAGGGCCCAAAGCTTACTCCTCTAACGGATACCTCCAGGGAGAAGCTGGTTTTCCTGGCCGCCCTGGATTGGCAGGACGCAAAGGAGACGCAGTGAGTGTCACGGTAGGGTGACCCTAAGTAAAGAGGGGCAATTGGCTGGAGAGCCAACCTCATATTTTCTTTCCTCTAGGGGGAGCCTGGTGTGCCGGGTCAGTCTGGGTCTCCTGGCAAAGAGGGCCTGATTGGTCCCAAGGTACAGGGGCTTTCTTCTTTTCTTTCCTTTTCTTTTTCTTTTTTTTTTTTGTTTTGTTTTGTTTTGTTTGTTTTTTGTTTTTCGAGACAGGGTTTCTCTGTGTAGCTTTGGAGCCTATCCTGGCACTCGCTCTGGAGACCAGGCTGGCCTCGAACTCACAGAGATCCACCTGCCTCTGCCTCCCGAGTGCGGTACGGGGGCTTTGGGTAATGGACATGATGGTGGTGGAGTCAGCTAGGACAAAGCAAGTCACAACAGGATCAAGGAAGATATGGCTTTGGAGGATCATGTGTGGCTTTTTGAGATTTCAGGAGAGGCTGGGGGTCACAGCAGAGAGGATGAAAGGGTAGAAGGTGTTGGGGGGGGGGGTGGGGGGAGGTGGGGTTGGTGTCCTGGGATCACAGCTGGGACACTAACAGATGCTTTGGATCGGGGACACACATGCTCAAGGATATACAAGAGCAGAGGATGTTGGGGCTGAGTATATTTCCTGCTTCTTCTGTTTCCAGGGTGACAGAGGCTTTGATGGGCAGTCAGGACCCAAGGGTGACCAGGGTGAGAAAGGAGAGAGGGTAAGTTGAGGTCAGGTTTGTGATCTGAAGGGAGCATTGTCTTTGGTAGTGGTTTCATCGTGAAGGGATTTTAGTCAACAACCCTCTTCTATCTACAGGGGCCCCCAGGAGTTGGGGGCTTCCCAGGTCCCAGAGGAAATGATGGCTCTAGCGGTCCCCCAGGGCCACCTGGTGGTGTTGGTCCCAAAGGCCCTGAAGGACTTCAGGGTCAGAAGGTGAGGTTCCCCAACAGTGACCCCTGACCCTGGGCCCTCCTCTCACTGCTTTTGTTGTTTTTGTTTGTTTTAGACAACATCTCACTATGTAGCCCTGGGTGGCTTGGAGCTCTATATGTAGCCTCAAATTCAGAACTCTGCTTGCCTCCTTGGTGCCAGGATTAAAGAAAGACTTGTGCCACCATGCTGTTTCATTTATAGTTTTTTTTTTTTTAATTCTGTGTGTATGAATGTCTTGCCTGAACATATGCCTGTGTACCATGTTGGGGTTTTTGTTGTTTGTTTGTTTGTTTGTATGTTTGTTTTTTCAAGACAGAGTTTCTCTGTGTAGCCCTGGCTGCCCTAGAACTCACAGAGATCCGCTTAACTCTGCCTCCCAAGTGCTGGGATTAAAGGCGAGCACTGTATTGCTGAGCTATGCTCCCAGCACCCCCAACCATCTCTGCCTCTTTAAATCATGAACCTACCACCCATGCTGTGATCTCCGTGTTCCAATCACTGAAACCCTGGTCCTCCATTTGCCTGTATTCTGTCACTGTCACTGACCCTGCCTACTTGGTCCTTGTGTAAACAGGGTGAGAGAGGTCCCCCTGGAGAGAGTGTGGTGGGGGCTCCTGGTGCTCCTGGTGCCCCCGGTGAGAGAGGGGAGCAGGTGAGTGTGGGTTCCTGGGCTTGGAGTCAGAGATTAGCATGACCTCGGGTGTCTGTGAGATCTGGTCACAACCTGGTCACATTTGTTCCACATAGGGGCGACCAGGACCTGCTGGCCCTCGTGGGGAGAAAGGAGAAGCTGCACTGACTGTGAGTTTGGCCTGGGTGGGATGGGTCACCCAACACCCTGACCACATGGTGCCAGGGCATTGATCTGACATGACTGGATCCCTGTATTATGCGACCCATGATTCATGGGTTCTTCAGGGGCCTTGTGGCCTTGTGTTTCCAGGAGGATGACATTCGGGGCTTTGTACGTCAGGAGATGAGTCAGCATTGTGGTGAGTGGGTCTGATGCGGAGTCTCCTGCCCCCGTCCCGTCCTATAACACCTAGATAGGGGCTGGCAAGTTCCCAGAACTTACAGAGGATAAGTGGTGCTCCATGGCTACATGCTAACAGGAGTCCCTTCATGGAGGGAGACACATGTGGGTGGCTGCATAGTGTTCTGGTGACTAGCTGTACGTGGAGAGGTAAAGTGGGGAGCAGAGCTGTCCTAGCAGCTGTGGCACTGGTGGGGGGTGATGATTCTGGGGGCCCTGTTTCTTGTTCTGACTGTTCTCATCTCTGTGCCTCCTACCTCTGATCTTTGGTCCTTATTTCCCTGGTCTATTCCCAACTTCCCGTCCCTGCTGGTCCATCTCCTCTGCATTTCTTCCTGCCTTTCTCCTTCCTGCCTCTCTTCCCCTCCCACCTCTTCTCTCTTCTCACTCCTGTGTCTCTCACTGGCTCTCCTGCTGTATCTCTGTGTGTCTCACCCCTCGTGTCTGTATCTTTTGTCTGTTTCTCTTTCTCCATCTTCCCATCTTTTTCTTTGTCTCTTGTCTCCATTTCTCATGGCCTCATTCTACCTTTTCCTGTCCCTTCCAGCCTGCCAGGGCCAGTTTATTGCGTCTGGATCACGTGAGTAGCTTTCTGTATCTATAACTTCCTTCATCTAAGGCCCTGACTGTGCTGCCTATCATTCGGTTCCCTCTCAGCAGGGGTGTGGCTAGGGTGGCTGACCTTGATAACCAAGGATGTCATCACCTGCTCTGTGCTCCAGGACCCCTCCCCAGCTACGCTGCAGATACAGCTGGTCCCCAGCTCCACCATGTGCCTGTGCTCCGGGTCTCTCATGTAGAGGAGGAAGGTGAGGCTGACAATCCATGGGGCCTGGATAGACTGAGTACAAATAGGTATTTGCATCAGGGTACACTGCACATACATGAAGTCTACACACGGGACACACACACACTGCACAGGGGGGAGACAGGTGCTATTTACTCTGTCCCAGAGCCAGCAGGGACCTTCTCACAGCCTACCCCACTCTGCCTGTAGGCCAGGTACCCCCTGAAGATGATGACGACTTCTCTGAGTACTCTGTGTATTCTGTGGAGGACTACCACGACCCTGAAGTTCCTTGGGATGGTGATGGGGATATCAAGGGCTGGGACCAGAGAGGTTCAGGTAGTGGCACATGAAGCCCATTGCTGATCTTTTGCTGATTCTCTGATCCCCACTATCCCCAATGACCTAACCACCAATGACCGTAGACCCCTGCTCCCTACCACTGGATGAGGGCTCCTGTACTGCCTATACCCTGCGCTGGTACCATCGGGCTGTGCCTGGTGGCACAGCCTGCCATCCCTTTGTCTATGGCGGCTGTGGAGGGAATGCCAACCGTTTTGGAACCCGTGAGGCATGTGAGCGCCGCTGCCCACCCCAAGTAGTCCACAGCCAAAGAACAGGTAGGGGGGCTAGATTCTCTCAGTGAGGGCTTCCCCTACTATATCAGTGCCTGGGTGAGAAGTCCCTGAGACTGGGGGACCTGGGACAGATTCCACATTAAAGAACTGGCTACGTAGCCCCAGCTGTGGAACCTTCGTCGTGCCTCTCTGTGTTCCTTTTTGCTAAGGGTCCCCTCTCTGAGTCAGAGCCCACACTCACTCCTCATGGATACTTTGCCATGTTTCCATGCAGATTTCATGTTGGGAAAGGAGGTCAGAGGGCTGAATGTTCTCTGATGTCTTCCACGCAGGTGCTGCCTAGGGCCGAAGCCTGCATGATGCACTAGATGGTCATCAGTTCCTGGAGGTGGCAGGGCTCAGCGGGGTCCTGCCATTCTCCGTTTGGTGCTAGAGTTCTGTGTGCCCGTGAGCGTGTGTGCGTGTCCACCATTTCAGTGACTTGGTCCTGTGGGTCTAGCCTTCCCCCTTGTGGACAAATCCCCATTGTGGTGCCTGCTTTCCTGGCAGATGACTCACTTGTTGGGGGTGGTTGTGGGCACTGAATGGATGTGACTGGTGTCCAACCTGCCCCTTGACCCAAGGCTGTGATGCCATGGTGCTGTTTCGGGGGGAGAGCATTAAAGCTGCTGTTTTAAAAGGCTCTTGTTGTTGTTTTTTGGGGGGTGAGATGGGGGTATCAGGAGGCAAACTTCCCCTGCGGGGATGGGTAGTCTGCATTATATTGCATGGTGTAGAGTCCTCATACCGGGCCCTGGTTATTTTCTGTGCTCTTATTTTCCCAATTTCCCCCCAGCCCCCAGAAGTAAATAGGGTGGGGGCTAGGAAGTGTCCTTACTGCTCCCTAGGAGGGGATGAGTCATAGGTGGGAGACTGCCTCATGCCAGGAAACATGCCCTAGCTCCTACCCCAGGAGGCTGGGGAGATAAATGGGCCTTGAAGTGGAGTCAAGGGTCAGGTGCCAGGACAGCGCTGCCCGGCCTGACCCCAGCAGCTGCAGCATCCCCGGCCTTCCCCCTAGGAAGCTGGCAGTGGTATGACTGGCATTGGGTAGGGATGGGAAGGGTCTGGGGTTGGGTGGGCCTGAGGTTTGGGTGAGGAGAGATGTCTGGACCCGGGAGGCTTTAGGGTTTCTGGTTGCTCTGCTTCACTTGTCCCCCTCAGTCCCCATTGCTGTCCTTCCTCAGCCAAGCTGGTCAGAACCTGTCTCCATTCTGTCACTGTGGGCTTTCTCTGTTTCTGAGTCTCTCTTTCCTCTAGAAGACTCTGGACGGTTTCTGTCTCTTTTTGCCTTGTCTTTTTTCTTGTCTGCCCCATCTTGCTTTGTCCCTGCCCCGTTCATCTCCCTCTCTTCCTCCTCTGCCCCTCCCCCTGCCAGTCCCTTTCTTTCTCTGCCTCTGAGTATCTTTGTCCTTAGCTCCCACTTGTTCTCATTCTGGTGTCTTTGGAGTTTTTAGACAGGGTCTCATGTAACCCAGTCTGGCTTCAAATTTGGATCCTGCCTCAGCCTCCCAGGTGCTGGGATTCTAGACATTCACCACCATGTCTCAGTACACATTTTCTTTCTTTCTGTCTGGCTCCTGTCTTGGCTTTCTTCTTGTTTCTTTGACTTTGTCTCTGTGTCTCTGTCCCTGGCCTCTGTCATCTCCCCAGCCCCTCTTTGTCTCTTGCCTCTTGCAGTCTGTCTCCTTCCAGTGAACTGCAGCTGCAGCATCCAGACCCTGAGCCTGTTTTCTCCTTACAGCATGATGGCCAGGTGGGCACTGGCGGTGCTCATGGTCCTGATACTGGGCAGGGTCCTGTTTGTCCCAGGGACCCCTATCCCCACCTTCCAGCTCCCCCCTCAGAACTATTCGGAGACTCTTCCCTACTCCATGGCCTTGGAAAACCACTCAGCTGCCACCACAGGGACCTCAGCTTCTTGGAGCTACTCCAAACCTAAACCTCACCTGGACACGCAAGTCACACTCTCCCTGGATGTCCCCATCGGCCTCCTGCGGATCTTACTGGAGCAGGCCCGGACCAAGGCTGCCAGGGATCAGGCTACCACTAATGCCCAAATACTAGCTCGTGTTGGCCGCCGCTGAGACTGAGGGAAGGGGTTATAAAGATGGGGTGACCATGGTGGGACATTCTGGAGGACAGCAATGAGGCTGGACATCACTACACCTAGGCTTTACCATAGTGGGCTCTGCCATAGCTTCTGGCTGTCCACATTATTTGAGACAGCTGTGCCCTTCACACTTGCTATATGGAATCTTGTCACGCTGGGCTGTGCCTGGCAGTCACAGAGCATCAAGACACCACCATGTGAGCTCCACCATTAAATGGTAAGGAGAGAACCCTAGTGTTGCACCTGAGATCCATCTAAGGCTCATAGGCCTGGGCCCCCACCTGAGGCCACTGAAGCAGAGAGTGCTGGCCAGGGAAAAATGCTTATTTTGTGGTTTTGTTTTTGTTTTTTGTCTTTTGAGACAGGGTTTCCCTGTGTGGCTTTGGAGCCTGTCCTGGAACTCGCTCTGTAGACCAGGCTGGCCTTGAACTCACAGAGATCCGCCTGCCTCTGCCTCCCCAGTGCTATGTGACCAGGCTGGCCTCAAGCTTATAGCAACCCTCCTGCCTCTGCCCCCTGAGTGTTAGGGTCACAGACATGTGCCACCATGTCTGATGACATGCTTGTTTTGTGCTGTTAGGAAGCAACCCACTTAGTGGATGCGGTTATCAGAGACATCTCCAGGCAGAGGCATAGATGACCACACGTGGGAAATCTGACTTTGGCAGCTTTTCAGTGTGTGTGTGTGTGTGTGTGTGTGTGTGTGTGTGTGTGTGTACGTATACATGCTGAGTCTCTGCCTGCTATAAGTCTCTGACAGCTGTGTGTGAGCAAGGGCTGGAGGCTTGTGAGAAGGACTGGAAGAAGAGGGCGTCTGACTCCCAAATCTACTGTCCTAGCTGTACCCCATGCACCCCAGCAGCCCTGCCAGGTCTGTGGACACATGCGGCTGGGGGAGGGGAGTGGATACTGCTGGAGCTCCAAGCCAGCCCTATGCTTTCTGGATGAATTGTCCTAAGCAAAGCTGTTCACCTCTTCTGAGCCCCAACTTCCTCAACTGTAAAGCAGAGTGATGCCACCAAGCTTCCTGTGGCACGGAGTGACACGGTGTACATGAAAGTTGTGTCTGCAGGAGGCGCTCAATAAATGTCAGATGACTGAAGGATGGGATGCACCGAGTCACCCAGTCATGTGCGCCCAGGCGGTGACACATGAGGGCTGAGTCACACCTGGCTTTTCTGCCCTTCCATTCACCTTCCCTCCCTACCCTCTGACCTGCTGCTCACTGAGAAAAGAGTAGGTTTCACCTTCTTTACAACTCCCATTCCACTGTTGGGCTGAAGACACTGACTTTTGGGGCGTGTGATCTTATTTGCCTGTGCATGAGGCAGGAGCTCCCAGTGGTGTAGGCAGAGAAGACCAGACCCTGAGCGTTACCGGCAGCTCTGACAGGATAAAAGCGCTACTGGCCCAAGCGCAG